GCTAAATGTATACTTTTGTTGCTGCAGCAACTGCAGCAACAAGACAGTCTGCAGCTGTTGTAATTAAAAGCCAAATTTAATACACGAACAGTTGATATTCGGGAGCGAATGCATCGCAATCTAATTCATTTTTAACTGGGTAAATTAATTGGATTTTATTAATTTAATTAACTAATTAATTAATTAATTAATTAATTAATTAATTAATTAGTTAATTCTTTTATATTTTTCTTCTCAGGCGCAGGCAGTGGCTGTAAAAACGACTGAGGCGGATGTGACTGGAGTGCTGCAGAGCGTTTCTTGTTCTCTCGGCGACTTGAAGCCAATGAGTAATTAAATGAATTGAAATAATTGAAATAAAATAAATAATGAGCTTAATTCAAACATTCAGTTTATTTAAATGTGCAACAGCGGCTAAAGAAGCAGCTCTTCCGTTCTGCAGTTTGTTTCCGCTCCCGTGAGGTGTATGTACACCTTGAGGTGTATGTACACTCCGTTAGCTTTTGTCCGGTGCTCCTAATGCTAAATTAAACTTCATAATAATTGTCTTTAGTGGCCTTCAATAAGTTTTTTGTGCTGCATTTATTTTTATTAGTTTCAAGTTTATTTTGCTGCTATTTCTCCGGGTGTATGTACAGCCTCGCTTTCTCGGAACAGCCCCGGCAGTTTCGCTGGGCGTCACCCTCGTGGCCATTCCGACGAAAACAATTGATTTAAAGAAATAAATTCGAATTAAAATTCATTAATTTGAATTATTAAACTTTATTAAGGCACCAAAACTGAAACAAAACGAAACAAACGCAAAAACAAATGCCGCGAAACCGCGGCGCGTTGCTGCTGACAAAACCTCATTTCGCTTCCTTTCTCTCGCTATTTGGATCATTGTTTTGTTTAATTGCATCAATTTAAAGCCGTTTATGAAAGCTAAACGGAAAAATACGTAAATTCACCTACTGAGTTGCATCATAGTGCCGCAGTACGTACACCTCAGGACTTGCCAACCACGAGGGTAAAAATAGTTTTCAAGGCAGTAAAACTAAAAAGATGCATTATAGGCCACCCCATTTGCCCTTATTGCCCCCAAACTCCCAAACAAAAAGAATGCTTGCACGAGGGGCTGCTAAGGAAAGCCCAGGGGCCCCTAGGGGCCCCTTGGCTTCCCTCTAAGGGGCCCCTAGGGGCCCCTTAGGGGGCCCCTTAGAGGGCCCCTGCTACGCTGGAGAGCCCCCCTGCTGCCTGCAGCCAAAGGCACAGGCACGGGAGGCCCTTAATGCCCTCTTTGGGGGCCCCTTGGGGGCCCCTAGAAAGAAAGAGTAGTGGCTGGGCCTTAACATCTTTGGGGGCCCCTTGGGGGGCCCCCATAAAAGCTAGTAAGGGCCCCCTTTGCAAATTGCTGCTGCGCATTTGCTGCTTAAGGAAACCTCTTCAGGTGTATAAACACCAGAAAATATTTTGAAGAACAATGGGCCCCTTTGGGGCCCCTTTTTGGCGTCCCTTTAGTGGCCTTTTGGGGCCCCTTTGGGGCCCCTTTAGGACCCTTTAGGGGGCCCTTAGGGGCCCCTTAGGGGCCCCTTTAGGACCCTTTTGGGGTCCCCTCAGGGGCCCCTTTGGACCACTTTGGGGCCCGTAAAGGAGGCCCCCTTTGGAGGCTTTCACAGCGGGCTGTGCTGCTGCCTCAGCCGACGGCTGCACTCACAGGCCCCGGTTTGCTGCTGCTGCTGCTGCTGCTGCTGCTGCTGCTACTGCTGCTGCTGCTTCCGCTGTTGACACAGCAATATAAAAGCCCGGGAAATCTGCAGCAGTGCCCCTTCGCTGCTGCTGCTACCGATGCCGCGTTGTGTCTGTATTGTTCCTGCAGCTGTTGCTGCTGCTTCCCCGCTGCTGCTGCTGCAGCAGCTGCTGCTGCACCTGCTGCTGCAGCAACCGCTGCTGCAGTAACTGCCGCTGCTGCTGCTTCCTGGGAGCCTTCCGCGCCTCGCTCTTTACTAGGGCTCTTCGTATCTCGGAGAGTTTACTGTTTTGTTTTTATTATTTTTTTAATTTTATTTTAATTTCTCTTTTAGTTCTGATGGCCTTCTTCAAATTGCATTAAATTCTGCTAAGGAAGCAGCAGCAGCAGCTGACCACTCCAAACAAATAAACCCAAAATGCGACTTTCGAGATTGCCCACGTTCAGATTTCAGCAGCAGCAGCAGCAGCAGCAGCAGCAGCAGCAACAGCAGCACCAGCAGCTCCGCCGAGAGTAACACTAGCAGCAACAGTACTAGTAGCACTACCAGCAGCAGCAGCAGCAGCAGCAGCAGCAGGAGCCCTCACAGGCAGCAGCAGTAGCTCTAGCAGCAGCACCCAGAAAAGCAGCAGCAGGCCTTCCAGGAGTACCAAGAAAAACAGCAGCAGCAGCAGTAGCAGCAGCAGCAGCAGCAGCAGCAGAATTGGCGCATTTAGGATCTTTTTAAAATTTAGATGATTTGCAATTATAAATGGATTTATTTGTCCTGAGAGCACCTTGAGCCGAGTGGCTGCCCCACTTTTGCTGCTGCCCGTCTGCTGGGCTTCCCCAGCAGCAGCAGCAGCAGCAGCAGCAGCAGCAGCAGCAGCAGCACAAAAGACTTGGAAAAAGAAATGACACTTCTTTTGCTTCACACAAAAGAAACAAATCCAGAAGCAGCTCCAGGGTACCGCTGCACTTGACAGAATCTGTGGGGCCCCCCAGCAGCAAAGCTGCTGCTGAAGTGAACCAGCCGGTACAAAACCAAGTCCCAGGGGCCCCCCCCCACTTCTTCCTTGCTCAGCTGCAGCGCAGCAGCAGCAGCAGCAGCAGCAGCAGCAGCGGTGGCAGCGCGGCTCGGAGTGCAGCTGCAGCAGCAGCAGCAGGAATGGTAACAGCCTCTCGTGCAGTGCAGCCGCAGCAGCAACAGCAGTTAAGTGCAGCACCGCTAGCGCCTGTGGCAACACACAGCAACAGCAGCAGCAACAGCAGCAGCAACAGCAGCAGCAGCAGCAGCAACGGCAGCAACAGCAACGCCAGCGACGGTGAACAGTGAAGGCAGCAAAAGCTGCAAACGCCGCAACAGCAGCAGCAGCAGCAGACTCGGCGACATATCGCAACACGAAGCAAGACAAAATTCAAGAGCAGCAGCAGCAGCAGCAGCAGCGGCAGCAACAACAGCAGCAGCAGCAGCAGCAGCAGCAGCAGCAGCAGCAGCAGCAGACCTACTCCTCTGTTGTAGAAGTCCTGTATGGTGCGTCTCACTTTGGGGTCTTCTCTTGCTGCTGCTAAGGTAATGTGGTCCATTTGCTTCAGGCGCAAGCAGCAAAGCTGCTGCTGCTGCAGCTGCTGCTGCAGCTGCTGCACCAGCGGCAGCAGCACAGGACACTGCAGCGGCAGCAGCACATGGCCATCATCGGTGGCCAGGGCCCGCGGCGTCCCCTCACCCCGCGGCCCCCCTTCCTGCTGCTGCTGCTGCTGCTGCTGCTGCTGCTGCTGGCCGTGCTGCTGCTGCTGCTGCTCCTGCTGCAGCTGCTTGACTGCTGCAGCAACGTGAGCCTCCACTGCTGCGATGTCTGTACACCTGAAGTAGCCCGAGACAGAACAGTGCAGCAAATAACAAAAGGAATCATCGCAGCCAAAAGCAGCAGCAGCAGCAGCTCTTAGCGAGGCTAGCTGCTGCTGCAGTTTGCTGCCAGCGCCAGGTTCCAGGTGCAGTATGTACCGGTCCCCTTCCTGCTGCTGCTGCTGCTGCTGCCCGTGCTGCTGCTGCTGCTCTTGCTGCTTCTTCAGGTCTTTCTCGCGCTGCAGATGCAGCTGCTGCAGCTGCTGCAGCTGCTGCAGCTGCTGCAGCTGCTGCACGCCTCCCAGCTCCCGCTGCAGGTTCAGCTGCAGCTGCAGCTGCTGCTGCGCGGCCGCTGGTGCTGCAGCCGCTGCTGCTGCTTGCCCATGCTGCTGCTGCAGCGCAGCTGGCATTGCTGCTACTGCTACTGCTGCTGCTGCTGCTGCTGCTGCTGCTGAAGCCAAAGCCGATGAATCAGGCTGAGAAACGGCGGGGCACGGCGTGGGGGACTCGGGGAAGCAGCACAGCTCCTTGTCATCTGCTGCTGCTGCTGCTGCTGCTGCTGCTGCTGCTGCAGGCGCCCTTGGCCTCAGCAGCAACTGCTGCTGCTGCTGCTGCCACAACTGAAAAGGATATCGCAAAAAAAGGGACACTCCGGGCCCCACAGGCAGCAAGGCAGGTGCTACAGCGCTGCAGCAGCAGAACTGCTGCTGCTGCTGCTGCTGCTGCCCACTTAGGTACAGCTGCTGTCTCAACGCCGTGCTGCAGTTCTGTCTGCTGCGGAGAAAGCTATCAAGCTGCTGCTGCTGCTGCTGCTCCCGCTGCTGCAGCTGCTGCTGCTCCCCTTGCTGCAGAGACAGCTGCAGCTGCTGCGAAGCCCTTGTACCCGAAGCCGTGCTCATGCTCCCGCTGCTGCTTCTGCTGCTGCTGCTGCTGCTGCACTAGGACAGGTCCGGACGCAGCAGGAAGGGAGCAGCAGCAGCAGCAGCAGCTGCTGCTGCAGTCCTTCCAATGAAAAAGCGCAGCGGCCGAAGCAGAGTTAGCAGAAGCTCCGAATCTGCTGCTGCTGCTGTTGCCATTCACAGGGTAGCCAGTGGCCTCGCTGCTACTGCTTCCGCTGCTGCTGCTGCTGCTGCTGCAGCAGCTGCCTCCATGAAATAATGGAAAACCGCAGCAGCAGCAGCTGCTGACGCTGCAGCTGCAGCTGTTCAGGACAAAACCGAGGGCCAAACAGCTCCCGCTGCGGCTGCTGCTGCTGCTGCTGCTGCAGCAAGACAGCTGTGAAGGACAGCAAGCTTCGAGACGCCGCCGAAACTGCTGCTGCAGCTTCTGCTGCGCCAACTTCGCCGTAAATCTTCCTCTTGTGCCTCTGCTGCTGCTGCTGCTGCTGCTGCTGCTGGAGGTGTGTGCGGGTATGCAGCCACCGCGCCTTCTACCTGTGTGAGAGCAGGACCAGCGGGAGGAGGCGCCCTCCCGCTGCTGCTGCTGCTGCTGCTGCTGCTGCTGCTGCTGCACTTAACATCTCCTAAAACTGAAGCCGCGAGAGACAATATGTGCAAAATGTTTAGAAAAAGAAAAAGGAAATAAAACAATGTGCAAAAAAAAGCCCCACGACACGACACTGGCGCGCTCAGGGCGGCAAGCTCGACGGAAGGACGCAGCAGCAGCAGCAGCGGCAGCAGCAGCAGCAGCGGCAGAGCGAAAGCACCAGCAGCAGCAGCAAGCTGCTGCGGGGAAACACCGGGAAATAAATGCAGCGAAATACTTCTGCAATGAGTCAGAAAGATAAATAAATAAACGAAAAACATGAAGCATTTATTGCAGCTGCGTTAGCTGCTGCAGTGTACAGACACCAGAGTAGCTGGCGCGTCCGCCGCTCTGCTGCAGCAGCAGCAGCAGCAGAACCTGACTTCGATGCTTCATTTGAATTAAATAATTGAAATACGAACAATAATTCAAATTAGAAAAATAAAAACGACTGAAGGCAAGCCCAATCATCTCCAGCAGGCCGCACGAGGTGTCTGTACACCCCAAACACCTGCAGCAGACAGCCAGGCCTGAACTAAAGGTATTGTTCCTCAGAAGCAGCAGCAAAAGTGTCTTGCTGAGCAGCAAAAAGTCTAAGAGCGGGGCAGATTCGACAAAACTTACGCTGCTGCTGCTGCTGCTGCTGCTGCTTCTGCTGCTGCAGAGGGTGTGGGGCCCCTGCTTGCCTAGGCGAGCTAGCGAAGCAGCGAAAGCTCAATACCAAGCCATCAGCAGCGTGTTGCTGTTACATTTGCTGTTGCTGCTGCTGCTGTTGCTGTTGCTGCTGCTAGTGCTGCTGCTATTGCTGTTGCTGCTGCTAGTGCTGCTGCGGCTGTTGCTGCTGCTGCTATGGAGCCCTCAGTCAGTCTCAAACCCTTCCAAATTCCTGTGTCGCCTCCAGCAACAGCAACAGTAGCAGCAAAAGCAGCAACAAAAGTCGCAGCAGCAGCAGCAACAACAACAGTAAACGCAGCACAAGCAGCAGCAGCAGCAGCAGCAGCGACTACTGCAGCACTGTGCGAACGCCTGCTGCAGCCATAAGCCGGTAATGGGGACGGCAGGCACGAGAGTAACAGCCGCTGCAGCAACAGCAGCAACCAGCAACGAAGGCAGCTGTGGCAGCAGCAGCAGCAGCAGCAGCCGCGGCAGCGACAGCAAGAGCAGCAGCAGCTGCAGCAACAGCGGCAACAAATGCAGCAACAGCAGCAGATAAAGTTAAGCTGCAGCGGCAACAGCTCGCGACACTTGCACGCTCGGTTAGAAGCTGCTGCAGCTGCTGCAGCTGTAGCAGCAGCAGCAACTGCAGCTGCCGCAGCTGCTTCTAGCTGCTGCTGCAGCAGCAGCAGCAGCTTGGCTACAACGTTACAGACGCCATGTAGTTTCTTTCAATACAAAGTTCAGTCTGCAGCAGCAGCAATAAAAAGCGGTACAACACTGCTGCTGCTGTTACTACTACTGCTGCTGCTGCTGTTGCTGTTGCTGCATTTGCTGCTGCACGGTTCGCGCCTCCATCGCTGCACAAAGCAGCACCGCGCTGACAGCACCCCAGCAGCAGCAGCAGCAGCAGCAGCAGCAGCGGCAGCAGCGGCAGCAGCAGCAGCGCGGCCCCTTGGCCGTGACCTAAATTTCTCCGCTGCTGCTGCTTGCTGCAGGTTCCTGCAGTGCAGCACATTCTGTCTTTGCAGCACTTGTGGCTGCTTTTGCTGCTGCTGCTCGAGCTGCTGCTGCTGCTGTTGCTGCTGCTGCTGAACTGGCGCTTGAGCCAGCCGTGAAGGTATCACCTGTATCATGCAGCTGCTTGTGCTGCTCTTGCCGTTGTTGCTGCTGCTGCTGCTCTTGCTGTTGCTGCTGCTGTTGCTGCTCTTCCTGCTGCTGCTTCTGCAGGTAGAGAAGGCCTGGTGATGCTGCAGCACTTCGCTCTGCTGCTTTCAGCTTCGTGGCTACCGTAGCAGCAGCTGTGTCTGCTGCTGCTGCAGCTTGCGAACCCGGTGGCAGCGGGGCAAAAGCAGCAGCAGCAGCAGCAGCAGCAGCAGGAGCAGCAGCAACCGGGGTAGAAGGTGTTGCAGCATCGGAGTCTCTGCCTTCGCTGCACCAGTCAAAAGCAATGCAGCCCTCTACGAAAGGCAGCGGCAAGTCTCCTTCTTCTGTTGCTGCTGCTGCTGCTGCTGCTGCTGAGGGCGCAGCAGCGGCTGCTGCTGCTGCGCCTCCTGCTGCTGGAAGGCCTCCCGCTGCTGCTGCTGCTCTGCTGCACCGTTCCCGCCTGCTGCTGCGTTCTAGAGCAGTGCCTGCGGGGCTGCCGCTGCTGCCGCTGTTGCTGTTGCTGCTGCTGTGGGGAGAGAGCGCAGTCTGCTGCGGCGGGGAGGCTGCGGGAGCAGCAGCAGCAGCAGCAGCAGCTGGCGACGCTGCTGCAGCTGCTGCAGCCGAGGGCGTCCTGCTTGCTGCTGCTGCCAGCTGACTCCTGGGCGTCCGGAGCCTGCGCGAGGTGCCGGCGAGTCCGCAGTCTTGCTGCTGCTGCTGCAGCAGCAGCTGCTGGTGCAGCAGCTGCTGCTGCTCGGCGTGGGCCTGCGCCCCAGCCTGCTGCTGCTGCTGCTGCTGCTGCTGCTGCGGGTCCTTGGCCTTTCTGCAGAGGCCCAGGTGGCGCTGCCGCAAATGCCGCCGCACGGAGAAAGCCCACTCGAGTGTACGTACACTCCAACGGCCCTGCATCAGCGCATGCAAGTCCAAGTCGGGCTGCAGCAGCTCAGCAACTCCTGGGGCGAAGATTGGGGCTTGGTGTTGTCTGTGGGAGTCTGCTGCTGCTGCTGCTGCGCCTTCGCTGGCCTGCTGCGCCGCAGCAGCAGCAGCAGCAGCAGCAGCAGCACCTGCTGCAGCAGCAGCGCGCGGCGGCCGCCCCCGCCGCCGCTTGCACACAGTTGAAGAAGAAAATGCTGTTGGCAGCAGCTGCAAGTCCATTGGAATATAAAAAACAGCATTTCTGCAAAAAGCAACTCCAGCTGGATGCAGCCGCAGCCTTGCTGCCATTTCGAAGACCCAGTCCACATCTGCTGCTGCTGCTGCTGCTGCAGCAGCAGCAGCTCCTGCGCCCGCGGCTGCTGCGGCGGCCGCGCCGCACTTGCTGCTCGCCGCAGCCGGCAGCGCGCCCGCCCCGCCCGGGGCCGCAGCAGCGCCGCTGCTGCTGCCCGCCGCTGCTGCTGCTGCTGCTGCACCTGCAGCAGCAGCAGCAGCAGAGCCGGCGCGGCAGCGGGCGGAGCGCTTGAGGGACTGGTGGTGGTGGCGCGGGCTGCTGAGGAGGGGCAGCTGGGGCTCGTGCTGCTGCTGCTGCTGCTGCTGCTGCTGCTGCTGCTGCTGGTAGCGCTCGAGAGCAGCAGCAAACGCAGCAGGCAGCGGCAGCACCCGCGGCACCGCCCACACCCACAGCTGCTGCAGCAGCACATGCAAAGAGTCCTGCGGGTGAATGTCATAGTTAAGGCGGTAGCGGCAGCACCAGGCGCTGCTGCTGCTGACGCAGCTGGCAGCAAAAAAGAAGAGTCTGACTCCCACGACGCAGATGCCCTGGCCCTGTCTGCGGCCCTGCATGGGGCGCAGCGCGAGCTGCTGCTGCTGCTGCCTGCTGCTGCTGCTGCTGCTGCTGCTGCTCGGGTGCGGCAGCTTGTACCGCGTCGCGTCCCGGTGGGAAAAGTAGCAGCAAGAAGGACTTGTCAACACATCCAACACCAAAGCATCTTGCAGCTGCCAGTTGCTGCCTTCAACAGCAACAGACACCACTGCCCCTGGCCACACGTCCGTGTGCCGCGCCCCCGACTGCTGCTGCTGCAGCAGCAGCTGCTGCTGCTGCTGCTGCAGCGACGCCTGCTGCTGCTGCAGCAGCGACGCCTGCTGCTGCTGCTGCGCAGACTGCCCTTGCCCGCACTGGCCCTGCGAATATCCCCCTGTGTGCCCCACAGACGAAGAACCGCCGCCAACGCCGCTGCTGCTGCTGCTGCTGCTGCTGCTGCTGCTGCTGCTGCTGCTGAGGTCCACCTCGCCGCGCAGCAGCCGCGGGTACACAGGCGTCGGGCGCAGCCGCCAGCAGCCATTCCTCGGCTCCGTTATGGGCACGTTGGGGGGCACGAAGTCCCGCACTTCCACAGTGGCCCGCTGCAGCAGCAGCAGCAGCAGCAGCAGCAGCAGTGTCAGAAGCAGCAGCAGCGTCAGGAGCAGCAACAGCAGAGTCGGGAGCAGCAACAGCGTCAGCAGCAGGGCAGTAGTAGTGTCAGCAGTAGCAGCACAAGCGGCAGTGCTTGCGAATGCTAATATACACACGTGAGAAGCGCAGCAGCAGCAGCAATCTCTGCATCCCACCAGGCGACGCAGCCGCCCTCTTCCAGCGAGAACGCCACCTGTATCTTCATTCCTGCAGCAGCAGCAGCAGCAGCAGCAACAGCAGCAGCAGCAGCAGCAGCAACAGCAGCGTCAACAGTAGTGGTACTAGAAGCGACCTCACCGGCACAACACTCAGCAGCAAAAGAGGCAGCAGCGCTACAATCCCCTTCAGCAACATTCCTCCGAGTGCTTGCAGCAGCAGCAGCAACAGCAACAGCAACAGGAAGAGCAGCAGCAGCGCTAGGACAACCCCCGTTAGCAGCAATCCTCTTTGGACTGCCCCCAACAGCAGCAGCAGCAGCAGCAGCAACAGCCAGACGAAGCCCTCCTCAGCGCCCGACCCCAGTCAACAATGGCAACAGCATCAGCAGTAGCATCAGCAGCATGAGCGGCACCAGCATCAGCAGAATCAGCATCAGCAGCAACAGCAGCAGTAGCAGCCGCAGCGGCAGCAGCAGCAACAGCGGCAGCAGTAGCAGCGGCAGCAGCAGCAGCAGCGACAGCAGCAGCAGCAGCAGCAGCAGCAGCAGCAGCAGCAGCAGCAGCAGCAGCAGCAGCAC